CTTTTCCCCTATTTTATTCCCTATATTATAAGAGTTTTTTTTTTTTTTTTTTTCATATATATTAAAAAATAAAAATAAATAACTAATTTCTTCACGAGAATTCAACCAACCCGAACTACCCAACTTAAACTATAAAAGTTAGGTCGAGTTAGATTTATTTTTTTCGATTTTGCTTGGGTTGAATTTTTTGAAAACTCGATAGTTATATGTAGTAAGCTGTTATTGTTGCATTTTGCTTACGTTCTCATATAACACCAATTGCTTTCAAAACTCTCTTTTGAAATCTCTCTGCCCCCGCTTTCTAAAATTTTCTTCTTGAATCGAGGCTAGAAGCTCGAGTATACGTCGTTTGACCGTACGCGATGCAAGAACAAATAGACTTAACTTACTTGTTGCTGGAAAGTGTCGTAGAATCGCAAGTCCGCTGCCATCAAAGTGCGATTGTGAAAAATATAATTACAATACAACCCTACCGTACACTTTTCTTAAGATTGTTATGAAAATTTAAAATGTTTGACGTTTCTAACTAATGTTAATGATGTGTTGTGACTTATGAATGTTTGATATTTGAGGTAAGATTTTTTTAAATAATTAAAAAAAAATAACAACCTAACCCAAAAATTAGGTTGGGACTTGAACGGATAAGATAAGAAACCACTACAAAGGGAGTAAAATTTGGATTACCTTGTTGATCGAATATCTCAAGACAAGAACATTGTTTGAGATCCGAATCACTCCACAAGCAAGATCGATCATGTCTACTTTGAATGATTCTTGTTGATCAAATATCTCAAGGCAAGAACACTTGCTTGAGATTCGAATCACTCCACAAACAAGATTGATCATGTCGAGCTTGAATGATTCTACATGCAACCTAAACTACATAGAATTGCAAATAAACTTAGTCATTGGCTAAAGAAAGCATCGATGTTTCTTTTACTATATATTTTCCAAGTCTACTTACAAATACAACATACATGGCTTTATATAGCCTCAAAATGAAGCTACTAAATTCATTAGAAGAGTTCTAACATTCATACTTAATGGTCTTAATTAACCATTATGTAATTGTAACCTAAAGTAAATTAAAAACTCTTAAAATACATTAATGAAATACAATAACTCTAAATTGTAATTTATCACATGAAACTTCATTCTTCTTAAATGTGACATGAATTGAAATATTCTTTGATAATTTCAACAATTTTCTTCACATCTTCATTGAAGCATATTGTATGATTGATGTCCCTTGGTTCATATCATAAACTCTCAGTTGCTCAGGTCACAAACCCAACTAGGCCAAACATACAAACAAATTTAATTGTTATTTTATGTTTTAGTTCCTAAATATCATAGGACTGATATAATCTTATGTCAGATTCTTTGTTTTGTGGTGATATTCTTATTTAGGGTTTTATTTTTATTTCTTTAATGATTATTAAAAATAATAAAGATAATAATGATTATTAAAAAGAAAGAAGAAAGTGGGCACTCATATATCAATCTAATTTGTTTTTTTTTTTTTTTTTTTTTTTT